GGGCCTGGTGGCGGGCGCGGGCGCAGCGGCGGCGGCCATGAGGAAGAGGAGGCGGAGGAGAACGAGGCGGCGGCGGCGCCTCAGGGCGGGCCCGGACTCTCCATGGGCGCCTCCCGCGCGGGACCAGACAGGCGAGAGCTCACCCCACCACACACACACATACACACACCCTCGGACGCGGCGCGCGCATGCGCGGGAAGGTCGCGCGCCCCGCACCCTCTCTGCGCGCGCAAACCACAGGCTCGCTGAACTCCCTCAGACAAGGTTCCTGGGCAGGACACGCAGAGAGAGGGGGGGGCCGCCTCCGCCCCCCGCGCATGCGCACTTCTCTCCAGCCCGAGCGCCTCCTCCCCGGGAACGGAGTACTATACGTAGCTCTGGTATGAGTCATGCGCAAAAACACGTTCTCGGCCTCCGGCATGCCACGCCCTCCCTGGCAGCGTAAATCTAGGAGACGCATGCGCATAACCCTCATAGCTCCTCGAAAGCGGAATGTAAAGGGATTCTCCCTACTGGCGCCTGCGCACTGCGGCAACCTCATTCTCTCTCTTTCTTTCTGCTTGGGCGCATGCGCAGATTCTACCCCGCCTTAGGCAGGCTTGGTTCGGTGGCCTCTGACCCCGTTTCCCTCCTTCTGGCTGGGCTGCCGGGCGATGGACCTGCGACGCAGGCTGGAATATTATTACAGGTGAAGCTTTTGCCACTAGTTTCTCCCTCCTACACGTTTCACAAGTGCAAGTTACACATTTTTTAATACTATAGAAAGCATAAACTGTATAAAAAAGGCCACAGATCATTAGCTATTCCAGCAACCAGCGAGTTAACATTTAGTACATATTTATTTAAAACATTTTTACCCTCCCTTTCTCCTTAAAAAGGACGCAGGGCAACTTACATCATTAAAAGACCATATTCAAAGCTAGAAACACTAAGTATACAAATACTACACTAAAAGACTGTAAACAAAAGAAACACCAAAAACACATTCAAAACTATAAGGCACCACCATCCATTTAAAAACCCTGTTCAGGCAGGCAGTCAGTCACTGAGGGAAAGCCTGCCTGAAAAGAAAAGTCTTTGTCCTCCTGGCCTCCAGTGGGAGGGAGTTCCAACGTCTGGGAAGAGACACAAAGAATGGCCCTCTCCAGTGCCCCCGCCAAACACACCTGTGAATATGGTGAGATGAGCAAAAGGCCCTCCCCTGAGGATCAGTGCTGAGAGCCAGGCTTTGTTGAGTTTTAGACTGAAAAGGTCAAGGAACTCTACCCAGCCACAAGGACTGGTGAACCCTAATTATTGTTTAGAATTGTTTTTAATTGTTTTTAGCTGTTTTAGCTTATAATGTTTGATGGAACCTGCCCAGAGTAGACTTTGTCTAAAAGGGTGGGATAAAAATCAAATAAATAAATAGACTAGCTAACAACCCCCATCAATCAGTGACAGATCATCTCTCCCCTTATCACAACAATACTCCCATAACAAAAAAAACCACCCTGATCACCATAATCACCCAATCTCCTGAAAAGGACAAAAAGCTGATCCCCCAGCTACAAATACTCAACTATCCCACACACTACACCAGAACACAGAGTTCTAACTGAAGATGCCGGCCACAGAGGCTGGCGAAACGTTAGGAAGAAAAACCTTAAGAACACGGCCAAACAGCCAAAAAAAAACTACAACAACCATTATCTGAGATAGTTTTCAGAGAGGTAGCCAGATTGGTCTGCTGTGGCATGTATCACAAAAAACAAAATAAAGCAATAACAAAAGAATTTTGGCACATTTACATTATTTACATTGTTAGTCTTAGATGTGCCCAAATACTGTTGCTTCTGTTTCTGTTGTACTTTGCAAGAGTAGACCTTTGATCTAGATGGGCGGAGTAGAAATCCAATAAAACAAATAAATAAATACTTCTTTTGAGATATGATCTGCTATATAAATTCTTACTCTTACCTTCATGTGATTCCTTCTGGTGGCTCATCCATTTCTAAAGGTTTGAAACAAAGGCTGCACAGCATTGTGGTCCACCATGAGGTCATAGAGAGAACCTCTTCCTCCTTCAGATTCAGCCACGTTTAACCTTAAAAAGGAGGTTTTAATTATTGTGTTAGGATTGTACGGCTAGGACGTTTCAAGGGTTCTTAAAAGATTTCCACATAAAGTGAGCAGGAGCTTCTCCACCCCTATTCTATGCAATTGCTAGGGAAAGAATACAGTACAGTGAAGTCAGTACCTCTTACTTCCCTGTAGACACATATAGGATTGCACTGTTACACACACTAAGCTCTTTCCAGATTTTAACACAAATGTGCCATAACAGATAGGTCCTATTCCTGCATCTTTTATAGCATCTTTTTGAGGAAATCCAGCACATGAACTTTATTCCCCCACTGGTCTCCATGTTCGGGGGGGGGGAAGCTTCAACTGCTAGATTTCCTTTTTCCAGGCTCCAGTGAAAGAATCAGGGGCAGAGCCTGTAAGATCCCAGACAACCCTTGTGCTGCCCAAGTGGATTACTATTCAAAAACATTCAAGCATAATAAAATGCCTTAGTTTTTATTGTTCCAGAATACTTCTTGCTGTTTTAGGGCAGCCCTAGTTATCATCTTGGCTTAGGCTTTGAAACAGGAAATCATTCCTATTTTCATATGCAAATCACTGACATCTGAATTCCATTTACACTCTGCACCTTGTGTAGCTAGCTAACATTGGAAGGCAATATTGAGTAGAACTGTCAATCTATAATATGGGGGGAAACCATAATTGCTAATTCTCTGCCAGGCCCCACACTTTTGCAACAAGTGACTGAAACATTCTTTACACACTTTGTAAAAAGGCTTATCCTGTAGTTTTTTGTTAGTTCAGCAACACGACAGGACCCTAGGTTAAGAACCAAAGTGTGCCATCCAGGTGGCTGAAGTCTCAACTTTTTCAAATGCAGACACACACACCCCCATACCATAGATCTACATAACAGTCTACCACACTTCAGCACTCGTGGTGGAATATAATCCAGAAGAAGAAGAAACAAATCAATGAATGAAAAGCTGCCTGCGAGTCAAGCAGGCATGCTCCCTCCTTGGATCCTAAAATGCTGTCTTAATTGCCTGTACTCAGACGGACGCCCAGTGTTGCTCCTGTCCACCGGATGGGTGGGAATTCTGCTGAGCCGCCCGTGGGCTCCTTCGGCAGACCCACCCTGGACAAAATCCCTGCAGACAGCCATGCAGGCACACAGGTGGGTGGCCGATCCGTTTCAGGTGGTAGTCCAACAGGTAGAGAGACCAGAGAAGGAGCGGGGAAGCCGGGGCAGGGCGTGTGGGGGGGGGAGAGGCAGAGCTGAAAGGAGAGACCACGGCGAGGACCACCACCGGCAAGGGGTGTGTGTGTGTGTGTGTGTGTGTGTGTACACGCGGGCGCCCCGCGTCTTGCCTCTCACCGGCTGGCCAACGGCGGCGTCCTCCTCCTCCTCCTCCTCGCTTCCTGCGCGCCTGTCCATCTTCCGCCTTCCTCGCCG